CTGTTGATTAGAAATATGATACATTAAAAAAATTAAGAAAATGTTAATTAAATAAAATTATGTTACAAATTATTTTTAAATAAGCATGATTTTCAATGTTTACTTTTAAACTATTTATACATTTTTTAAGTAGACAAACTATCAATACTTTTAAAATGAAATATATAAATGCCCCGATGTATTAAAATTTGATGTACGAAATCATTTTGTCTCAGAATTAATTCATCGAAATTATATAGTTTCATTTGTATTTAACCGATAATTTTGTTAAAATATTTTTAAAATATTTTGCTGAAATTCGAATGCAATCTGTTGTTATTTAGGTACAAATGTTTTCCCCCGTCATCTGTGGATAACTGTATAGCTAAATCAGTTCCTAATGAGAAAAAGAAAAGAAAAGGAATGCCTTCTTCAATGTCTTCAATGCATGGTATAAAAACATGTGACGTCTTTTGAGATTTTTTTGTAATTGTATAGAAAGAAAATGTATAAAAATATTTTTAAGGAAGAGTAAAATAGGGTACAATTTTAAAATGATAGGAAAAGTTCTGAGCTTTTTTCTTAAAATATAGTTTTATTATGTATAATAACTAAATTGAATTATTACTATTATTGTAATGATTTTTAATCATTACAATAATAAATAAATTAATATTTATTTATTATTAATTACGCAATTTTAAGTACATAAACATATCATCTATCTAAAAGCCTTTATAGGCAAGCACATAAATGTAATTTTAAGAAGGCTAATCTTTAATGTAGAGTGTATATACTGTTAATATTTTCTAATCGTACATCGTAATTCCATGTAAGTTACGATCCCGATACATAAGTATATGTTAAATTACTAATAATAAACATAGGAAATCTCAATATAATAAAATAGAAGAATGTTTATTAATGTGTTTGAATCTGAATCTCTGTGCATAATTTTTATTTTTATTGCTTCTATGTTTTTCTTACTTTAAAAAATTTCATTTTTTGATTCTTATCTACTGCTTATTTTATCATGTGATTGAAAATATTATCTTTTCAACTACAAACTATTGATTTAAAAATAATAACAATTATAGGTTTTAATTTTTTAAAAAAATTAGATACTTTGCCCTTTCTGTATGTTTAGCTACGTTTTTTTACGATAGAATTGTTTTCTTTCTATATATTTTGAGGGAAAACAACTGCTTTTATCAAAATATCCTCAATTATCAAGAAAATAGGTGTCTTCAAACTTATGAGACGAGATAGCAACATCTTTACCTTACTACAATTAATTGAGAACCATAAATATATTGTTACAAGTAAGGAGAATTTAAAATAATATTATATTAATTTATAACATTTATTAAAAATTAACAGATCAAAAGTAAAAAATCATATTAAGATATGTTAAATTTTATCAAAACAATTGTAAACAGTATTACTCAAAACCAGTGGTTCTCATACTTTTTGAAGTCAGGGCGCATTTAAATTCCTACAAATCATTCTTGTGTTTATGACAAATATGAGTCTAATGTGTCCAAACGATTTCTTAGATGTTTGGCCATAAATTTGAAAGCTAAACTCTTATTTCCTCGTCTTTACATTGCAGATTTCTTTCTTTTTTACACTTCTTTGTGGTGAGGTAGAAAATTCTAATTCACATAAATATAATATTGAAAATTGTAGTAAAATGTTCGAAGCTTTTTCAGACATATTCATCTCTTGGAAGAAATACAAAGGGTTTTAAGAGACAATTCCTTATGTTTAACCATCAATCCACGATCAGTGGAAATATCTATCTGTTCTTCTGTTAATTTTAAACCAAAATCACTTAAAAGTTTCCATGAACGAGTTTTTAATCCTATCGTATTGTTCAAAAGTTATGGAAAATAAGAACTCAATTTTTCTTTTAAACTTGTTAAATGTTCAACTATTATTGAAAGCGTTTTATCTATGCCAGTGTTAGTTACAAATAGAAAAAATTTCCAAATTACCTTCAACAGCTTTTCGTTTCCAAGTCTGTAGTTTCCTCTGAAAGGCTTTCATTTTGTCAGTGGATGTGAGAACATTTTCTTCTTTCTTGTGTAAGCTAGAATTCAAAATATTTAGATGCTGAAATATATCGACTAAATCCTGTAATCCTGCTATCTAAAATTCTCCCCGAGGAGCTTACAAAAATGTAATTGTATCATCTCTTCAAAAAACCGCAAGCACTTGTACATGGTTAAGTAAGTTCTCCCTCGCATGGCCATCATCTGTATAAATGCCTACATACGACTTCCATGTTAACTGTCATTTATCAAGATAGTTATTCAAATGTAACCTTTTGTAGACACACTTAATTCTTTACCAAAAAAAAAAAATAAATAAATAAAAAGACTTACTATTTGATCTTCATTAATGAAACGGATGAATGCACCTTGTTAACTAATCAACTTTCAATGTTAAATTGGACCACTGAAGTATATTACTGCATACATTTTCTCTTGATGTAAGAAAGCTTTATAATACACTTGTTTTATAAATAGTTACCTTATTAGTTTATTTCAATATAAAATACTAAGTAATATTTTTACACTATTCAGGCCATGCCATAATGCTTATGCATGCCAGGTTTAAACCTGGCATGCATAAGCAAACTTATAATCTAGCTGCTAGGGAAAATTTATTATTATGATGTTGTTTCTTTCATTAGAAGATCTGAATAGTTGCTCTCAATTTCACTTAATAAATCATAATTTTTTTTTAATTAAATCCTCTTGCTATAACTGTTGATTATCTCAATTATGAATTTTAAAACTTGACTGATTTCATTTGAAATGTTGATGCACAAAGTGCTTTCTGGTTATACAATGAGGATCAGTTGCAATTGATGCAATGCTGTTGGGTGGGATATTTTTCTTTTGCTGTATAGGATTTTGCTCTGTCTTCTCCAAGTATTTAATCCGAGTGACACATAAACTCAGAAAATTTCTCTCAGATATTATATAGTGCACAAAAAGAGAAACTACTGCTGGATCCTTGATGCTATAAGATCTACTAAAATTTTTAAAGTTCGAACTAATTCAATGATTTTAAATTGTCGCTTGACCTCTTTTCAGGATATTTTAAATGTCTAATCTGTGACAGTTTGGGCAGATAAAGGTATGTCTTTAATTTTTTAAAAGATCCAAATAAGCTTACCAGGTGTATATTTTCCACTCTTTTTGATATCCTTATCCTCTACGAAACTTCCAATATTGTTGTTATCGGCAGAGTAGGGAATGCAAAAGAGGTTTTCCAAATCAGAATTGCTGGTAAAAGACAGCATTTTAAAATTTCTTATTTATATTATATTTGGATATAAATACATTAATTACTAAAAACATTTTTCATTTAGCTTTTATGACTAATGATAATATGTATTGTCTTTTGTGTAAATATTTATGTTTCGACTCTCATAAGTCAATGAAAAATTTAATGAAAATATTTGTTCGTTCTTCAAGGTTTTTCAGAGACTTCTACTGTACCTGATCTTAATGCTGATGTTCTAGTTTTAAAGAATATGGACTGGAGAACTTGCGCAGGGTTGAGTAGACCTGAAGATGCTATTTTATGCTCTATCAAAAAATCAACAAATGATAGGAAACGAGGGCTTGAATCTATCACCAAAAAAGATGAAATTGCTTTACATCATACAGCTGTTTCCAATGAAAACTCATCTTGTTCTCCTCCTCAATCATCTTTGTAAATCATATATTTTTTATAATAAAATGCCAAATAAAAACATGTTATTTCAAATTTTATTATTTATTTTTACTATATCTATTGTTCCAACCCGCGTTCTTTTGAAAATTGCGGTTTTGTAACAAACAATAAAAGTAAATAAAATATTCTTTATTAAATCGCATCGTAACTAAAGTGTCACATCGCTAAACTTTTCCAGCGATGTAAAATACGGTTTATTTTTAGTAACAGAGTTGTCCATGAATTATAAATCTTTAATAAACGAAACAGGTAGCTAAGCATGCAATAGTGAATAGGACGCCGAGATGAAACGGGGCAGCGAGATTCTTCATTCATTGTATTCTGCCGGGCCTCAATGCTGATTTTATGGCGTCATGGCAAATCCGGCTTCTCCAGTGTGAAGAAGGACATTTGTGATTTTAGAAATAACATTTAGCCTTACCTTCATATTATATATTTGATAAGCAATCTAGAGTATTTGAGAAAAGAAAAAGAGGAAATTTTGTCGCCGGTTATCCTAGTATGTATTTATGTTATCGGAAATGTTAATAATGTTATTCCTCGCATTTGTTTCTTCACACTTTTAGAGGTTCTATATGTTTTAGAGATATAAGTACAAGTAACGGTATGACTTATCCAATATATCAACAGATTTCAAATATTTTCATCTTATTGAAGATGATTCACACTAGGTTGAAACTTTAAAAGAACACGTATTTTTGACAGCCTGAATTTAAACCTCAGATTTGATAGCCTGTATTTGAATCTCAGTTTTAATAGCCTATCAGAACTAAGGCAACTTTTTCCAATAATAGTAGTATTTTGTCACCCTTCTGAACCTAATGAATTATGGACAAAATATTTATATGAAAATTATGAGAGACAATTGATAAGAAGATATAGCTATAAAATCTATAAAAGGCTATAGATTTAGATTTACGTAAATAACTTGAAAATAGCTGTCAAATAAATTTAGAAAATATAATTATTTCCGTAGGTGGGAATTTTTTGTTTTTGTTGTTGTTGTTTCTTACCCCACTTGGCTGGCCAAGCCCACGAGCCCATACGTACTCATGATTGAAGGGGAAGGAAGCAGCTTCTGTTGGGATGGAGCACCCGTAGGTAGAAGCCTGACTTTTGCTCCGTGACGCTCTTGCAGTCATAGGAGACCGGGACCTACGGCTTAAAGTGGATTCCGAACCACTACAAACATCCATGGCACCGCCGGGATTCCAACCCGAAACCTGTGGCACCGAGCGCCAGACACTCGGCCATTCAGGTCCCAAATTTGCCAGCGGCACGCAGTGTTCCCAGGTGGTCAAGTACTGACCGCGCCCAATGATGCTTTACTTCGGTGATCTAACGAGAACCGGTATATTCAGCATGGTTTGGCCGTTGGCTAAAATTTTTTTAATTAATATTGCGAGGTCTAATGTTAATAATAATTTCAGGATTGTTATCTTTTCTGAAACAAGTTATAACCGATCGATATTAAATTTCAGAAAAAAATGAAGTAAAAATTACTATAGAAAAAAAAATGAAATTTTAAATAATATTTTCACTCTAAAAGGAGAAATGTTTTTTTTTTTTTTTTTAAATTTATTTATGCACCTGGAGAAACAAAAACTTTTAATAAATTTTTTAGCGTCTCAAGTTAAAAGTAGTAAAATCATGATTTCAGTAGCATCTTCCGATATATCTGAAACACTTTTTTCTGGTGGTAAAACAACTCGTTCAATGTTCAAAACACCTCAAATTATTGATTAGTCATGTATATAAAAATAGTGGTAAAGCTAAAGTAATGAGAGGTGCTTGCCGGATGAATGCACATCTGCTAATAAAAGGGGTTGAAGTTATTGACAGGAAGTTGCAGCACTTACGAAATAATAAAAAAAATTACATAACATAATAACAAAAATGGCATATCTTTTCTATTTTCAAGTGATTTTCTTCAGACTTTACCGGTAATTAAAAGAAGTGCAAAAGTTGATGAAGTAAATTCATCTCTCAACAAACGATCTTATCTTTGGAATGATGTTAAAAAGCTGTCATTAACAGTAAACAAGTTTGCCATACAAGGAGATTCAACTGATTTTCGGCGTTCTGATTTGTTGCTAGATCTAGGGTAAGGAAACATAACTGATGAAAATGAAGTAATATCTCTATCTAATAAACTATGTGAAGGAGTACCTTCTGTATAGAATCTTATAAAAAACATTTATCCAGATATGAATGATATTAAAAATAAAGAGGACTAGTGGATATCAGCTCAAACTATTTCGTACCTTAAAAGTGATGTGGTGGCTCATAATAATATTAGGTTGGCAAGAAAGTTATGTCGTTTTTTTTTCTCTTATAGTTAAGCTTATAAATGAGATTAATTAATGAAATATTGACCGCTGTTTTCTTATCTGTCCATCTGCCAACAAGGTCATTTATGCCGGATGTATAAAAGATCTTATCCTTTGAAACCAGGAAATCATACTTCAACCATTGATTTGAACATCCTAAACATCCCGAAATTTTCGAAAATATTTTTCCTTTAAGAAAATTTTGCATTGAGAGGAACAAATGATAGTCAGATGGTGCCAGGTGAGTATGGTGGATGTGATAAAATTATATATCCAAGAGCCTGGAGATTCTCCTTCGTCCTTAAAGTCACTTGAGATTTGGCATTATCATGTTGGAAAACAACACCTTTTCAGTTATACAGTACTGGACAAAGTTCACGTATTTTTGTATCCATTCGGCTTAGCTGATCACAATATAGATCTGCTGTGACTTTGATCTGGTTGTAACAGTTCTCAGTGGATAAGACCTCGACCATCCTATCAAATGCAAAGCATTAGCTTTTTTGGTAAAAAAGGGCCTTCGCATGGATAGAATATGCTCATAATGTTGACGAGGAAGCTCATATTGTATTGTTATTGTAGAATAGACTCGTATTGCATTGTTATTGACTCATATTGTTGTCGAGAAAGCAAAGAAGAAGCAATCAAAATTCAATCTACCATATTCTTTCGCTTAATTCACGAGGAATCCAACGACACTATTTGTAGACAAAACCAAGCTTGTTCGGCCGATTTTCAATTGTTACGTGGTTAAAGCTTAACATATTCACGATCTCCCTCTAGTCAATAGTGGTTCATTACCCATTAAAGCTCTCGGAACGTCGTCACAAAGCTTCTATGATCATCGAGGTGCGAGGTTCATCTTAGAAGCTTCACTTCACTTTACCTGCATTTTTTAAACCATCTTTGGACAGTATGTACTTTAACTTTAGATGGTCTAAAGACGAAACACCAATTATTATAATCAAGTTGGAACTCATAAAGCATAGAATGCCTAAAATTAAGTTTTTCTAGATCTGTCATATACCCCTATTTTAATAATTTAATGAATAAAAAACACCTGTAATATCAAAAAGTGGAAATACTAGCTTTTGCTTAATATCAAAACTGTCTAAATCGCACAAAAAAATAATTAACATTTCAATTGGAGCAACAGAAAAACGACATAACTTTACTACCAACCTAATATTATCATAGACAAGTTTGAAGCGGACAAAATGATTTATGCATCGAATAATACTACGGTTAATAAAGATGACATAACTAATTATACTAATAATATTTTAAATTCAATCATATTCAATGATATTTTAAATTCAATCATATTCAATGACATTTTAATTCAATGTATCAGGACTTACATCACATACAATTAAATTAAAAATCGATGCTCCTATCATTGTAATGAGAAATTTAAATGCTCCTAAACTGTTTAATGGTACAAGATTGCGAGTAAATAACAAGTTGCATAAAATGTCATAGAAGCTACAATATTAATCGGATCAGGAAAGGCAGAGAATGTATTTATTTCTAGCAACCTCTTATTTTCATTCAAATTTAAACGCATCAATATCCTATTGGTCTTTCTTTTACAATGGCGATAAACTTATAAATTAAAGTACTTATTATTAATAATATAACTCATATATATATATATATATATATATATATAGATATATACATAAAGAACATATGATGTTTCTAAAGTTTGACGTGAAAGTAAAACACGATAAAGAACATCTATAGGTCGGAAAGAGGTGCAGTTTGCAGATTAATATTCCCCGTGATACAGCATTTTGTGTGCCCTCCCCTCCAAAAAATTTTTTAATTCAAAATCTTGAAGATAGAAAGCACTATTACAGATAATTCCATGAAATTCACATGTGCATATCGCTCACACTACGCAAAATTTTAATATAAAAGTATCATTAAGTACGGTACTGCCATCTTTAATACGCAAAAGTAATTAAGTGTATGATATTATTGTGTTTGAAAAATACACATGGTACCAATTCACGTTTTCATCTGGAATCATATAAAATGAATCAGGCATACCTGCAACTAAAATTTGGAAAGCTTTCTGAATGATATTACTAAGGCTTCCGTATAAATTCCAAAAGGTTCAGCAATTGCCCAATTGTTGTCAGAGAATGAACCAAAGCGCGAAGCATTCTCAAGGTAGATGTTGTCGTTAATGGAGAAGGATATAATTTCATTATTTAACATTTTATGAATGGATCAGGCACATTTTTAGCTACATGAGGGAGTAATTCTCAAAATTGAAGCAAACGAACATTGTTAATACACTAGTTAGAAAAACACCCGCTATGATTGTTGCCAGAAAAGTCACCGTGAGTTGAGAATTGGTTGGCTCATGATTGGTTCTTTGATCTTTGAGGAACATTGTGCCATGGGCCTAATAGCTTGCACCATAGCAGGTACACGGTATTATAATTTATTATGTATCATTGTTTTTCTTAGCCTAATGAACGCAACGAACTAGACACGGCCATTTTTATACCTGTCAGAGCTCCATTGTTCCAGAACATTAAGTGATGGAGTTATTATCGTTAATGTTTGGCAATCGCTTTTTGATTCTCAAATATGGATGGTCTCCAATATCACCATGTCTCACATCCAGTAATTTCTCATTGTAAAATTACCTTAAGTCACAGGTTATGTAAAGGAAATCCTTAGTTCTTACCAGCAATGAAAAATTCCATACATCAAGAGCAGCTATTCTCGGTGATATGCTATTGCATGTTGCAACGAAAGAAAAATTATTACTGCACTCAGTATTGAAGTATGGTGGTGGATATATTAAACATTTGCAGTTGTAAATCTTGATAATATAAATGTTCTAATTGACAACAATAGTCTTATTATTTTATTTATTTATTTTTTGCCCTCTTCCTTCGCAGGAGCAATAGCGCCTGCTTTCGTCTAAAATTTGAACTAAACTTTTTTTCGTGTTAAACAAATTCCCCTACTATGATGAATATTAATCAGAAAAATCAATCCCTTAAGGTGCTCTAGTTGTCAAATATACGGACATTCTCAAAATGCATGTTGTGGTAAAAAAACAAACCTCATCTAATTGTTCATCCACTGATCACTCATACGCAAATTGCCAATCCGATGCCAGATGTGTTAATTGTCGACAACCACATCTAACCAATTCCAAATCTTGTCTTAAATGGCGGGCTGGAAAAAGAATACAGAAAATTAAAATCATTAGAAGCTTATCGTATTTGGAAATTCGAAAGATTGTAACACGTAAGGTTTTATCTTTTTATGCAGATAACGCCAAACCTAAAACATATCTACTACACCGAAATACTAAGCACCACAAAAAGTGCATTCATTTCAGTGATGAATAATACAAATATAACTGGTTTAATTTGTCAACCGCTGCTTACGTTCAAGTCTATGGGATCAGTCCTAGTACGAAAATTCAGTTCAAAGATACCCAACTCTTTATAAAGATTGCTTTCTAGCTCTTTCTATCTGCGAGATCTAGTCTCAGATCATTTGGCCGCGACAAGGAAGATAATATTTTCTACGGCAGTATGATGTCTTCAAAACCAAGAAATCTGTGCATGAAAACTCCTTGCATGCGTCCCTCTTAACTGACGATAGAGAAGTACTCATTGTAAGTTGATCGACAGAGTGCTCGTTGATCAAGAGAACACATTACCTGGACGAGACAGAAATGAATTTCTGTAATCTTCACAGAAGATTCCAAGTTTCCTCTGTAGAATAATTAACGTCGTTACATGACTGCTAATATTTACTTTCTTCGTGGTTTAAAATTAATTAGCATTAAAGCCACTGAAATTGATTGCATAAATGTGTGGTTTTTTGAAGGAAATAAATAACTGCTAATTAAAATTGATATATTCTAGTACTTACACTAGTTAGATGTAATAAATATATCTTTTTATAGAATCCAATATTCTGAATACTGTAATTTTAGGTAAAAAGTATATATTATTTCCATAAATCATTAATAGAAAATAAGCAGAATTAAATGTGAAAGCTGCTA